TGTTAAGTGTTTATGTTGCAGTGATATTGTAGAGATGGCTAATGCTCTGAAGGAGACTAGGAGTGCATCAGTGCTCTTCAGTCTTTGTGTAGGAGCTGAAATCTTCCACCTACCATCTTCTAAACACAACCATAGGTAGCAAGTTAGAGGTGAAGATAGGAGACACAGAGCCATGAGCATTTGGCTTCCTTCTTCCACTATTCCAAGGCATCTAGAGTCTCCAGTAAGTCCATTATGAAGACACCTAGATATTATTTAATAAACTGTAAATTTGGATTTCAGATGATGAGGATTACTTCAGAAACCAAAACTGCTTAACCTGGATTAGTGAGCATTAAGGTATTAGTGCATTGAAGACCAGGAATCTGTGAGACTGGGGGCTACATGGTCCATGTTAAACAAGGTTATCCTGTAAATACTTCCAGCCCTATTCACCGCTTAAAGGAGTGAACTAGTTGGAATAAAGGCATGAATCCATTGCATGCAGCTTTCTTCTGAAGGTTCCGATAAGCACATCAGCAAGATTTAATGATCACAATGACTATACTGTTCCTCCTCCCCCATGTCTACACTACCTGGAACGCATTTCATTAAGTGGACAAAGCAGTTCCTTCTGTCACTGCTTCTCCTTTCATTTCTGGCTCTTTCTCCAGCTCACTTCCAGTTCATTGCTGACCCTAGATCTCTTCTCCCAAGGAAGATATTATTCTTGAAAGCTCATAAAATCCTGCCTGGCAGGGATCTAGGATATATTTTGAAATGAAAGCCAACGTAAGTGTGAAATCACACAAAATAGGATTATACTGGTTCATTGACCAGCTTTCTAAAATAATAGACACACGCATTTGAGTAACTCCAATAGCTAACTTGAGCTAACTATAAAATTTGGTAAAACAAAATTTCCCTCAAAAAAGTGTGAAGATAAAAGAAATGAATTTACGGACTGGGAAGGTGGTTTAGTGGTAGAGTGCTTGCCTATCATGTTTGAAGCCCTGGGTTCAATTTTTCAGTACCATATAAACAGAAAAGGCCAGAAGTAGTGCTGTGGTTCAAATGTTAGAGTGCTAGCCTTGAGCAAAAGAAGCTCAGAGAAAGTGCCCAGGCCCTGAATTCAAGCCCCAGGACTGGCAAAAAAAAAAAAAGAGAGAGAGAGTTTATTTTTATAATATTATAGTGATGAACTTTTATTCAACATACATTCCTCTAGAATTTTTGATAAGTTGGACACTGCTTAGATTGAACTTTTGTAATTTATCAGCCTTGAGGGTTTGTTTGAACAAGATTCGGAAGGATATGTTTCATCTTGGAGCTTATCCAAGGGTTAAATCTATCATTTTTGAAAAAGTGAGGTTTCAGAAATGCCTGGGGGAAACAGGAAACTGCAAGTCTGGAGAGCTATGATCCAAGACTTGTTGAAATCTTTTTTTTCTGTAATCATTTTATTGTGATTAAAATGCAATAATATAAAAATATACCCATTTAATCATTTTAAAATGTACAATGCAATGGCATTAAGAATATTTACAATGTTGTATGACCAGACATCGCTATCAATTTGATCATCCCAAACAGAAGATTTGTAGCCAGTTAAATAACAGGAGTTAACGAGTAGGAGTTACTGTTTAACTTCTGTCTCTTCCTGTCTTTATGGCATGTATTTCCTATAAGTGGAATTCTACAGTATTTGTCCTTCTGGCTTATTCACTTAGCATAATATTTTAAATGTTAACCCATATTTCAGACTTCCATTCCAATTTAGCTCTGAATGGCAGTTTGTTGCATAAGTATACCACATTTGTTTATCCATTTATCTGGTTATTTTCAAGGTAGAGTCTTCCTTTATGTCCCAGCCATCCTGGTCTGCAATGCTCATATTTGTGCTTCCCCAGTGTTCCTAGGGATGAGAAGCTTACACCACTGTACCTAGCCATTGATTGAAATGGAGTCTCACAAATTGTTATACCTGAGCTGGCCAAGAACTTTGATCACCTGATCTCCTATTACTTCTAATTATTCCTGCTTGAACATAGAAAAGCCAGTGCTTTAGTTGATATAACACTTTTTGCTGAAGTTAAGTCCTTTTTATTTGTGTTTCCAAATAAATAACAAAATCATTTTTCTTCTTTGAAAAAGGAAGAATAAAAAATATGCTGGGCACCGGCGGCTCCCTCCCATAATCTTAGCTACTGAAGTGGCTGAGATCTGAGGATCAACTTTCAAAGCCAACCCAAGCAGGAAAATCCACGAGATTCTTATCTCCAATAAACTAAAAGAAACAACAACAAAAAAAGACACAAGTGGGACTGTGGCTCAAGTAGGCTACCTTGAGCAAAAAGAAGCTTAGGGACAGTGCCTAGGCCCTGAGTTCAAGCCCAAGACTTGCACCCACAAAAAAAAAGAAAGAAAAAAGGCTGTTTTACTTCAGCATTACCCTAATATCCTGATTCAGGTTTTCCCAAAGGATGTGTTGTTTTAAAATTCTGGTTTCCTTTCTTATTTAGGATTGGTGAGATCTGTAAATCAAAATAATCACCACTGGAAAAAAAAACAGCTTTATTTCTCACAGCTCCTAAAGTGAAGGAACCTGTTCTCATACCACAGAGAAAGCTTTAACTGGGGTTTTCTCTGGAAAGAATATGTGAGGCTTGGTAAGCAAGTTGAGGATTGGCTAGCTTGAATTATTTCTGCAGGCTCTGCGCTATGGAAGTCCAATGCCTGGCTTTGAGTGTTCAGGACAGAAGTGTCCTTTGGGTCTAACAAACCCCAAAAAAGCAGACAGGTATGGGGTATAAGTTATTAGTTTGCATGGGAAGGCATGTTACCAGGAGAGTGCTTCGTTATCTCCAGGAATTAGTTAGACCTTCCTTACCAGCAAGGCTTCTGCTGCCAAATCATCGGATACAGACACCATAAAGCATGTTCAATACAGATTTTAATGAAGTCCTTCAACCACAACCCACCATGGGTTCCAGCAGGCACTCTTTGGTCTCAAAGATCTACAATCAGAAACAGCAGGGTTTTTTCCATGCTAGCTGTTCATTAGAATAACTTGGGAAATTTACTAAAATCACTTGGAGAATTTTCTGCTCCCACAGCTAGGCTGATTGAATTGCCACCTCCAGACACTCATCATTTCAGAAGCTCCCCAGTGGCTCTCCTAGGCATTTGGGGTTAGAACCACTGGTTAAAGATAATATTTCTCAAGAATCTGAACCAGGAACTGTAGCAGCAGCCCCTGGGAACATGCTATAAATGCTCAGCCCTCTGACACTGCACAAGCCCTTCCAGTGGGTCTGTGGCTTGTTTGAGGGTAATAACCACTGGTGTAGAGAAGAAAGCATCAACTGAACTGCAGGGTCCTCCCATCAGAACCCTGATCCCACATGCATTCCCAGAAGCTCAGCCAGTGTGTTTAGGTCCATCAGTTTTCATGAGCCAGAGCTGTTCTTCCAGGGAGAAGACAAGAGGCCTCTTGAAGGGTCTCAGCATCTTGCAACTCTCCCACCTCCAGCCCACTCCAACTTTGTCTCTAAGTGCTTTGCTTAGAGTAAGCACCATTAGTAATCAACCTGACAGAGGGACTAAGATCATGTAGGAAGCACATCACATGGTCATTGCTGTGGCTACTGGAGGATCCAGCAGGTCCCAGAGAACACAACCCAGGTGACCTTGACAGCCTGCTGATCCAGGAGCTTGTCTGCACAGAACAAGGACATGCTCTTACTCTACTTCACTGAATCTCTGGTTCATTGCTTAAGAACTCTTCAAGTGTTTTTAATATCCAGAGGGGACTGAAAAAGTGGCAAAGCTGTGGGGCTTCACAAACAAGTGCCTGGAAGCAAATTGAGTGTCCATAAAGGAGAAATTGAGTGCATGAGTGTGTTTTCACTGTTGGGAAAAAATTGCAGAAAATTAGCATAAGCTATAAAGAGCAGGAAATAGAATCTGAGTGAATTTTCTCCAGTGACAAGAAACTGGTCTGGGGTCACCAACTTACATCCTGACCCCAACCCCTCACCACTACCAGTTAAGAATTGGGACAAATTAAAGAATTCTGAAGTTTAGTTTCCTGATCTACAAAATGGGATGATGATAATGTGCTTAAAGACTAACTATGAGAATGCCAATAAAATGTTTGGCATTATTCTCTTCATAAGTACTCCAAACTTAGCTACCATTTCTACTACGAATAATTTCACTATATTATTAGCACAGTGATTATCAATATTTTGGGGGTTTTCATAACAAAATACATGAAGCATAGTGCTTTATAGAAAAAAAAAAAAGAATTACTTAGCTCACAGTTCTAAAAGCCCAAGGACATAGCCCTGCTCAGCATCAGCTCAGCCCTAGAAGAAACCTCATGGTAGATGGTAGCACAGAGGCAGGAGTATTGCAAGAATGGGGAGCAACCTGTTCACCCAGTGATTCACACAAGGTGTTAAACTCTCATTCTCACAAAGAACCAAAACTAGTCTCAATGGGGCTTGACAACTCCTAGAAAACAGCACTAATGCAGACACGAAAGCGGTTTTCCCATAACCTTGGAGCCTTCCACTAGACCCCACCTCTTAAAGATTCCACCTCTCCCAACAATGGGGACCAAGCTCCTAGCACATGAAGCTTTGAGAACCAAACCATAGCCATGAGCTAGAGTAAGTGTTCCCAAGGTAGTATTATTGCTGTTATTATTTGATTATCTACTATTAGCAATGAGAAAAAAGTTAAAACTAGACAAATGAACCAAAGACTCCTTGACAAAAATTTGTCTTTTCTCAAAATGCAAAACCCTTACTTCTATCTTCTACCTAGCAGAAGCTTGCCTTTAACAAGACAGAATGCATATTGCTGCAGGAACATAGCTCAAAATCCATTCACTCTGAAGTCAACATGATCCACACTGTGCCCTATCACCCAGCCTTTGAGCCCAAAGCCTTTGAGCCAAGCCTTAACCACCCCTGCTATTTCTTAGACTGACCTTCCTGTCTACCTTATTGCAGGTACCACATCTGTGTCACCGTGCTGATCTACTTCCTCCCCCTGCTGGTAATCGGCTATGCCTACACTGTGGTGGGGATCACACTGTGGGCCAGTGAGATCCCTGGGGACTCCTCAGACCGGTACCATGAGCAAGTCTCTGCCAAGCGCAAGGTGAGCAAGAGGCAGGTAGCATCCACCCTGGCACAGAAAACAGACTGGCAAGCAGGGTTGACAACCTGCTGGCACTAGATCATCAGGCACAAAATGTCCCTGGGTCTAGGGAACAGGAGAGGAACAAAGAGGGGTCTTTTTCTGCACATGCCCATACACATACATGCACACTCATACACATATGCCTATACTCATCCCCTTACACACATTATACATTCATTCACACACTTGCATACATAAACTCATACATCCGTGCTCATACATACCTACACACTCATGCACGCATAAATACACTACTCATGTGCATAAGAAACTCATTTACCCTCATACTTGTACACATACACACTTACACTCATGCACTATACTCACACATGCACACATACATAAACACATTTACACATACTCATTCACTCATAGAAACACACTCACGCATGCCTACTACTTGTGTAATATTCTCATTTCCATATACATGTGTGCACACATATACATTCATTACACAAATGTATACCACACTTGTATACACTCATTATACAGATACATACTTATATTACACACATACAATACATATGTACTTACACATGCATACATGCATGTACTCATTGTACACATTCATAAATCTCATTTGCATGCACCCACTCTTAGCCAAGCTCAAACACATTCAAACTCATTCACACACAGACATACTCAATTACGCCACACAGTTACACACATAAATACATAAATTCATTCTCACATACCTTCATGAATATACAATCATGAATACATACATACTCCTACATATCCATATACCCACTTTTTAAATACATATACAAACTTATTTGTATACACACATATATTCATACACACATACACTCATACACACATAGTACATTTAGTCAGAAAACATGCATATACATTCAAATATACATATGTACAGGAAACCACCTATGCACAAATGCACAAAGATACACACAACATGATAACCCCCTGTTATTTTTTTTTTTTGCTAAGCCTTTTATATATGAGGATTTGTACATCAAACACACATATTGTTTTCTCTGTATCTATAAATAGTAAATACACAGTGGTGTTTCTTTTACATAAAAATTCCAAGAACTTTGCATGTCAGTAAATGAAGGATTCTCTGTCTTTTTCTCCATTTGGTACTTCCTTGAGTGGTATATCATTGTATGGATGCCATATGCGTCTTCCCTGGGATTTCTTGAAGACAAAAGATTACGGCATCCAGAATTGTAGTCCATTTAGGCTGCTCTAAGAAAATGCCTTTGGAAATTTGTGAGAAACAGGTTCTCACAGCTCTGGAGGCTGTGAAGTCTAGGATGAAGGCACCAGCAGATTGGGTGTCTGGTGAGGGCCACATCTGGTTTATGGGCTCCTCCCTCTGTATACCCACACACGAACACCCTTGCCTCTTTTCTAAGGGATCTAATCCCTTTCAGGAGGCTCCCTTAAGACCTAATTTCTTCCCAAATGCCCCACCCTCTAATACCATCATGTTGAGAATTCAGATCTTAACATATAAATTGGAAATCACGCAAGCATTCAGACTACAATACCCAGTATTCCTAAAATCTTATTTGGAATCTCCTTTACAAATAGGTCCTTGCTGTGGCTCTCCCAGTCTCTTCTCTCCCTCGCCCCCTTCCCACACCTTCAGCCTCCAGACCAAGTAACAAGTGCCTGCTCCAGCCAGCTGATCTCCAGGCCACCCAGGAGGGCCATATTCCACAATATCAAAATCACTTCAAGGGTTTGTCCACCAGAGGATTCTGGGTCTCACCCTCCGAGTTTTAATTCCAGAAGCCTGGAACATGAATCTCTAACAAGTTCCCGGTGATAATGATGCTGCTGATCCTGGGCCACATTCAAAAATATTGACATAATCAAAATCCTTCAGCTCTAAATATGAAAGAATGTTCTTCCTCCTCCTCTCTGTAAGCCAATATTGTAACTATCTCCTACCCTATACCCTATAGTGTATGCCGTGAAGGGGGAGGAGAAGAAAATACCACGAAAGGAGATGGTGTTGGTGGACTCACCTGCCTCACGTTTTTTGCCAGGTGGTGAAAATGATGATCGTCGTGGTGTGCACCTTTGCAATCTGCTGGCTGCCCTTCCACATCTTCTTCCTCCTGCCCTACATCAACCCGGATCTCTACCTGAAGAAGTTTATCCAGCAGGTTTACTTGGCCATCATGTGGCTGGCCATGAGCTCCACCATGTACAACCCCATCATCTACTGCTGCCTCAATGACAGGTGAGCCCCCACTCCCTTTTTAGGGTCTACAAGTAGCCATCCTAAATCAGCACAGCTCACTAAAACAGGAAGGAGTTTGGGGAACTGCAGCCATATAACCACACACTGTGTCCCTTGCTGATTAGGAGTTGTATCAAACCAGGGATCCATGGATTTCTGTAGCAACTGTGTTAGGGAAGAGGAAGTTGGGACTGATTCAAAACCTCCCTTGTTGATGCACACAAGGCAAGCCTGTAAGTTGGATCCTCCTGTCACATTCCCATCACACTGTATTTCTAACAGGACCAGAAAGCAAAAGAGAGTCAGGGCCTGGAAAACCACATTTCTTACTTTATCAGATTGGTGTAAGGACCCCTTCCCCTCTGGCCCCCCCTCCCCCAAAAGAAGCCAAATTCAGACTAGTCAGGGCAGGAAGAGCCCATCAGAAGTAGCTATCATCAATAAAAATGCATCAGTAGGGAAATCACCATTGCTGGCAAAGGGTGCCCAGCAGGGGCAGGAACACCAGGTTCTAACACAGTACTCATTCAAAGCAGCAGCCTCTGTGAGGGGCAGGAAGACAAAACACACACACACACACACACACACACACACACACACACACACACACACACACACACACACACACAAACTGGGCTGGGAATGTGGCTTAGTGGTAGAGTGCTTGCCTAACATGCATGAAGTCCTGGGTTCGATTCCTCAGTACCACATAAACAGAAAAAGCAAGAAGTGGTGCTGTGTCTCAAATGGTAGAGTGCTAGCCTTGAGCAAAAGAAGCTCAGAGACAGTGCCCAGGCCCTGAGTTCAAGCCCCAGGACTGGCAAAAAAAAAAAAAATGTAGTCATCAACTGGGAAGAGCCTCCTGTAACTGAGACAAACTCAAGTACTATGAGTATGGGAAAGACATGCTCTTGAACTTGCCCCAGTCATCTCTGTTAATTTAATTTGCAAGAGCTTCTAAAAGCTTGACAACTTGCCTCATTTTTTTAGTAACAATTTCCCTGCATGTGTTTAAAGGCAGATTCTGCTTGTTTAACAGAGAAAGTGAAGGAGGTACCTCTGTTGTGAAATAGACTCACAGAGAGTCTATTTACAGTCATTGGACTTCATTGGGAAAGGATGAATTGCTGAAACAGGTTTTTATACCATGAGCCTGATAGTCATGAGCACAGTGAACAGGGCGTGAGTGGTTTATGTTGACATTGAATTGACTCAGAGTCTTCTGACCTCACAGGATGCCCTGAGATGCCCTCAGAAGCAACCTGCACTCCACTGAACCTGGCTTCCGGTCCTATATTTGACTTTGCTGACTGGCCTTGGAATCTTTTTTTAACCTGTGAACTAATTTTAAAAAGAATGGCAGGGTGATGCTTGAGTGTGTTCAATGTTGAGAACTCGATGCAATGGTGGGAGTGTTCTCTGATAGCCCACCAACCTCACAGTTCACTCTCCTTGGATTCTCTCTCCAGGTTCCGTCTGGGCTTCAAGCATGCCTTCCGATGCTGCCCTTTCATCAATGCTGGTGATTACGAGGGGCTAGAGATGAAATCCACCCGGTACCTCCAGACCCAGGGCAGTGTGTACAAGGTCAGCCGCCTGGAGACAACTGTCTCCACTGTGGTAGGGGCCCATGAGGAGGACCCAGAGGAGGCCTCCAAGGCTACACCCTCCTCCATGGACCCGACCTCCAATGGCTCCTCTCGCAGCAACTCCAAGACCATGACAGAGAGCTTCAGCTTCTACTCTAACATGCTGTCCTAAGTGGTAGCCTTCAGCAAATGCAACTACCACTGTCTTTGTCCTGCTTCATTCATGCATGGATATTTCTATGATCTGGAACCCATCAGAAACACCCTAACATTGGAGCTTTTGGAAAGGGTGAATGGTTTAGTGAAAATGTTCACTCTTAAAGTCAATCTGTATGTCCAACCTGGATGCTTCTGTCTTTGCCAGCCTCCTCCATCCATGTTGTGTGACCCAAGGCAAATCACTGAACTTCTTTGAGCTCTATAAATTGGCATGGCTGAACTAGACTTTCCCTAAATATCATGCCATGATTCTAGAAATGACTTTAGCTGCATGTGGGTGACTCATTTAAGGGTGAATTCTGTAGTGCAGTAACAGCTCCAACAGATCTATTTGTCTGGAGCTCCTACAGTCATTCTCAGCCATGCTTAGGTTAGTCCTCTTCAGCTGGTAGTACACATCACTTGACAGAGTAAGCAAAAGAAGGTGCCACATAAAATCTAAGCACCCATGAAAAGAAAACACACAGTCACCTCCTTTTGGCATCCCAATACTTCAGTTCATTTAAGCATTTTGGAAATGAGGCTATGAGGTTCTTCTGCATTACATTCCTAGTGACCATTCTGAGCAACCAGAAGATGCAAGCAGAAGCTGTCTGTCTACTAAAGCCAGCTAATCTCTGAACCAAGCAAGAGTCAGGAGACCCAGGTCACTTAGCCTCTTTCTGTTTTTCTTTTTTCAGGTGGGTTGTAGGGCTTGAACTCAGGGCTTGGGTACTGTCCCTGAGCCTCTTTATATTCAAGGAAAGTACTCTACCACTTGAGCCATAGTGCCACATCTAGTTTTCTGAGGGCTTGGGTACTGTCCCTGAGCCTCTTTATATTCAAGGAAAGTACTCTACCACTTGAGCCATAGTGCCACATCTAGTTTTCTGAGTGGTTAATTGGAGATAAGAGTATCACAGGGATGTTTCTGCCCAAGCTGGCTTTGAACCACGATCCTCAGATCTCAACCTCCTGAGTAGCTAGGGTTACAGGCATGAGCCATCAGTGCCCAGCTCTTTTTTTTTTAAGCAAGAGCACTGAACTAGATGATCAAAGCAGCCCTTTGAATCTTAATGTTCCATGGGTCAATGATTGTATAAGTTTTGTTTGTTTGTGTTACCAAAAATAGTAGTCTCAAAAAGAACAGAATGAACAATACCTAGCTCCTGAAGATGGGTATTCTCTGACATTCACCCATTTATTCTTGGTATACTCATTCTCTTTGGTCTTTGCCAGCACAGAGGACCATGGGTCAAAACCTGAAACTCTCCAGCAGGCTTTACCAGGCTGAATTCCACACCTGAGAACCCCATCAGGAAAGTCAAGCATGTGGGTTTTCATCTGGGCTTTTGGTAGCTTTGATCAAAGTCCCTAACCTAGATTTCAACTTTTTGCAAGCAAGAGGCATATGCTCAGATGTGCATAAAGAAAGAAATCTGACCCTGTAGCTGTCCTTCTAGGAAGAGATACCTTGCATCTTTCCTCAGACCTTCGGTCTCTCCATTCTGCTACATAGCTTTGCTTCTTTCCTGGCTATCAAAGGTAGAATGACCCACCAATGCCAAAAGACAGTTAGCCTGCAAAGAGCCATGAACTGAATGCTTTGTGTCCTGATACACCTTTGGGGTCTCCAGCAGGTGAGCGTGCAGTCTCCTAGATCTGTACTGTGTCCAGATGTGGCTGGAAGCAAAAACTTTGAGTGACATCCCCCTCATCGTTTGAGTATGGATCCACTTGGCCTGCATTCATAGTGCTGAGGGAAGACCTATGCCACCCACACCAATGCAGCCCCCACCACTGTTGCTGACTTTAACCTGTCAAGGGCATTCACTTGCCCAGAGGAAGTTGTGTGACAATGGTATAAACCAGAAAAGCCTGAGAACCATATTCTCCAAAGAAGCATGAAAAATATTAAACAAACTAAGTGAAATCATCTCAGTACAGATCTCTCAATGGAAAACACAAAAATTTCCCAAAGCATTAGTCATGCTTCCAATCCAGAATCTGGCTAATGACATGATTATGGAAAGTACCTAAGAAGAAAGTATCAAGACTTAGGAACCAGAAGAGAAGGTTAAAGTTGAGCTCAATAAGGCTTTATTGAGCATCTGCTCTGAATTTTGCCTTGAGCTAGAAACACAAGAAGCTCACCATGCCCCACCATTCCTAACAAATCAGACTAATGAGGGCAGACTTCCCGGCAGGTGTGAAGCAGCTGAGAAGCAGATTTTTCACCACTCTCAACATGGATAATTCAGCTAAAGTCTGGGGCCATCGGAGAGCTTTTGCAATGAACAATTCCCTAAGATAATTCCAAAGGGAACCCACCAATCAGCCCAGGGAACCTAAAGGGATGTAGCTGAACAGTATCACCAGATGCAAAATAAGAACTGTGTGGGTGGTGCCAGATTGTTTCAAATATGGCACAAAAGAAAAAAAAAAGAAACCTCAGAAAGTGCCAGCAAGTCGTCTACTGCCCCATGCTCCAAGGCCCATTTAACTTACAAAAATGTTGTTGGCTCATTTATGTGAAGAACACCATGATTTGCACTGTGCATGGGTCTCATACTTATTATAGAAATGTGTCACCTTGTGTTAATCTTCTAAGCGTATTTCCTTGATGTACTGTCCAGTAGTAATAGAATAGGAGATATCATGGGGCCATCTTGGTTACATTACTCCCAACTGTGGGATCCAGTGTCCAGTGACTGTCAGTGTGTGTATGTGTGTGTGTGTGTGTGTGTGTGTGTGTGTGTGTTCGCGCGCGTGCGCGCGTGCACGCGTGCGCTATGCCAATCTTCTCTCAGTCATCACTGTTTCTCAGGGAGGAGCCCTGACGTATATCATGTACTTACAGGAACTGTGGGTAGAGAGGGGACCTTTTTTACTTCTTGCCAGGATGCTAAGATATAGTACTTAATGGAATCTTGGGGAAAGGGTACTCAGGAGCTGACTCCATTGGCCTGATTTTAGGAGAGAAGAATGCAAGTGGAGAGAAATTGTTCCTGGGGTTTCCATGTTTTCCTGCCTGGGGTCTTGGAAAGAATCTCTATACCAGAATAAAGTTTGGTTTTGACTGTCTCATGCCTTTGTCTCTTCTCTAAGAAGCAGCAGCACTCTCTAAGGGTCTAAATGGAATGGTGTCTGGGACCCTAACAACTCATACAAGGGTAGAATCCAACATGCAGTAAATTCTAAATTCTGGGATGACATGCGTTGGCAAGGTCTGAGAAACTTCTAGGCTGAGAACTGGAAAGGTGAAGTAGAATTGTGTCTTGTGCCCAACCAGGTCACCTGTGAAGAGAATTGCCAGTTCAGGCAGTCCAAGAAGCAGACACCAGGGCATCATGAGAAATACAAGAGATGTACTGGGGCAGGGCTAGGTAAAGAGCACCTGGGCAAGAGATCAAAGGGAGAGGCAGCAGGAGCAGGAAACGCTGTCAGACCACCATGCAGATATGATATCTTGGAGAGAAAGGGGACAGGAGGCCCATCAGCCAGCCCAACAGTGTGCAGATTTCCCACATAGAAGTCCTGGATTGGTAGAAATTGATAGATGAATACCCTACCACCCTCAGCTCCTGGGGGGGGGGGAGGGGGGGTTCCCTCTGGAAAGTGTTCTGCACTTGAACCCTATTGTTGTCCCTGAAGCACTGCAGCTCAAGACCAATAGCTAATTGCACCCTTTGCTATTTCCTTTCATCACTCAAAAGAGGTCTGTCTTGTACAGCTGCATACTTGGCACCAGAGCATTAATCCAGTCCCATATTTGCAAGCAAACAGGAAACCCTGCAAGACTGAACACACAAGTGGTGATGGCTGCAAATGCAGGCAATATGCCTCCTACTCCTGAACTCCCTGGGCCCCCTTCAACCCACAGGCAGGATCACAAGAGAGTGATGGGGAGCTGTTAGCAGAATTTCAGTGACACACTGAGGAGTTCGAAGAAAATATAGTCAGGTATCCCATGTAGTGTTAGAAATACTACATAAATAAATAAATAATAAAGCTTCTTTCTATTTAAATTTAGAAATGGTAAACGAGTACCTGGGATAAATCTCAAGTGGATCTACAAGTCTCTTTTGAGATCCCTATAAGAAGTACAATGAAACCTGAATCCACTCAAGAGAAATCACTAAGTCTCTGCTCTGTAAAAAGATAACATTGCTTGCAAGAGCCTTGAGACCTTCCCAGCATAGGGAGAGGCAGATGAGCTCTGGGAAAAGTAGACTGGCTGCTGGAGAATGAGCCCTGATTTGGAATAAAATCATAATTCACCTCCATCCTCTGTGTGTTTAAGTTGCAGAATGCCATTAGACATTTTTGGAACTAAAAACACCAAATTCATGATGAGGGAGTGCACTTACCCTTCTCTCATTAAAGAAAGACTGCAACTTAGTTATAACTGGATAAATAATGTAGGATGTGAGGTGCAGACATTTCTACAGAAAAGCAAAGATTTTTCATTTACTCCTGGGCACAAAAGGTTCGCACCCTTGGGAACTATACCTGACCTTGGTAATAGTCTCCCTTGAGATCTCTCAATCCCCTTGGTAAACAGGAGGAATGCTGAGTATATGGATCTCCTCAGCTCTAAAGCAGAGAGTAGCATTTCAGTTATGGCTCCACACAGGGAATATTCCACTCTTTCGTCATCAAAGGTGACATCAGCATCTAATTACAGAACTGCTTTTCCTGACCCCCACAGACAATGCCCTGAGACACTGTCATGTGTTTCTACCCAGTTTGGGAAAACAGAAGGAAGAAAGATCACAGAGCAATCATATCACATAGCCGCCTATCTCATGACACCAGATTCAACATAAAAGGGCTGCAGGCTTTGGTCCTGGCTTCTCTCGGGCAGGGCAGCTTGCAAGGAGACAAGACTGTTAATTAACAAGTAACCAAAGGCTATCGGCAATGACACAAACTCTATGGGCTGCCAGCTCTATCCTCATCCCCGTCCCATCCA